GCAGGCATGGTGCCTTCAGGGCCCTCCGCTCCTCCTATTCCTCCTCCTGAATCTCCTGTCGCTATGGGTCATCCCACTGGACCACCCATGCCACAGAGCCCCCCTGGACTGCACCCACCCCACGGCTTTCCAATGCCGCCTCCGATCCCCCCTGGTCAACCCCCACCCTTTTATGTAAACAGACCTAATATGAACCCTCCGATGAACATGCAGAGGCCTCCTCCGTTCCCTCCAGATCTACAGATGTTGCAGAATCTCTTCCCGTTTCCACCTATGGGTCAGAACCCAGTAGATTTCTTCAGCAACTTCTTCAGAAACCAGGCTCCACAGGGAGGTCAGTGTTTCAATTGGCCCTCAAATAGATTAATTTTGTTTAATCATAACTAAACAATGCTAATTTGGGTTTCTCTTTTTCGTTTAATGAAGTTGACCCTGGTCTGGCCTTCATGCAGAACCTCCAGCAGAACATGGGTGCAGAGTCACAGTTGAATTCTTTGCCACCAGCAGTACAGAAGGCCATCCTTTTACACCTGACACAACAACAGCAAGAGTCTCTTCCACAGGGAAATGAGCCACAGAGAGCGGAGGGCCCGGATGATAACAATGCAAACAGAGGTAAGGGGCAAGAAGCAGGTTTGCTGAGTAAATTAGGGTCAAATAAAACTAAATTAGAACCCTTTCTGAAATTGAGTGAAAACTGAGGTAAAAAGACATGTATTACCCAGGGAAAATCAGTGTCCTAAACATGCGCTCATTTAAATAGAAATGTAAAAACAAAACAAATACAAAATGTCATCTTTTTCTTGACAGATGAAACTACAAACTGGTACTCAAGCGATGAAGAGGATGGGAGCTGTGTTTCCTCCATTCTCAAATGTCTCAAAAAGCAGAATGAGAAGCAGCAGTCTCAGTCGAAGCCCCCCCAGGCTGCCCCAGTGGGTGACCCTCGGCTTGTTAAAGAGAGGGCCCCACCCAGTGACCCCCGTGTGAAGACAGACCCCCGACAGCGACCCCCGGATACGAAAAAGGAGTCGGACGGAGCTGTAGACCCCCGGTTCTCCAGAGACCCCAGGAAGATTCGACCGATGGAGCCGAGTTCCTTTCGGCAGCAGGGCCACCCCGGTTCTAAGAAGCCCCCTGCAGGGGATGAGGATGATGAAGGAGAGCGGGAGCCCAGGGACAAAGCTGTCCTCATCCCTCTAGATGCCGGCCCCGAGGTGCTGCTGCGGGACCCTCGCTGCCAGTTAAAGCAGTTCAGCCACATCCGAGTGGACATCCTTCTCCAGAGGCCGGCCTTCGCTCAGACCGTAGTATGGGCCCCTGAGGACCTCATCCCTTCTCTGGTACCCAAACAGGAACACTCAATCAACCTGCCCCTCCCACCCCTCATTGCAGATGCTCAGATGAACCGAACAAGCTTGCCTGACCCTCCCCCCCGTCTCCAGCCCTCCAGCCATTGACCCCAGACTGGTAGCAGCACGTTTAAAAGAGCGTATGAGTCGATTACCCTCCGGATCTCTAGAGTCCCGACCCCCCCCCAGAAAGACCCATAGATCCACGTCAGCAGAAGACTCTGGATCCCAGACTCAAGCGTACAGTTAGCCTGGACTCGAAGCTGATGGGTCAGAAGGTGCCCTCCTCTGGGGGGGGAGTTGTGGACCCCAGGCTACAGAAGGCCAGTGTTAGCTCCACTCCTCATACTGTCCAAGCAAAGCCAGAGGCTGAGAAGCTGCCACCTTATGCCCCACATCTGGCTTCCTCTGGTGGGGGGCTAGAGAGTCCCACTACTATCCTCGGGGGCATCAGTCTGTACGATCCTCGTAATCAAAGCGAGACAGCCCAGAAGGAGCCGACAGAGCCTCCCAAAAAGACGTCCATCCTGAAACTCCCAGCCAAGAAAGACGCTTCTCCGCCACTTTCACCAACTCAAAGAAGTGGCTCTTTGGAAGAGACAAAAAGCACAGACGCAGCCTCAGATCAGCCTCCACCTCCCAGTCCTGCCGCAGTGCCTCCTGCCTCACTGGTCAAACCCCCTGCGGTTCATAACCTCCCCATCCAGGCCCTGGCCGGGCTCATCCGGCCCCCGTACACTGACCCCAGGCCGGCCAAACCTGGAGGACAAAGCTCAGCAGGAGCACAAGAAGAGGCGGAGGAAAAGAAGGAGCAGGGGGAGGTCAAGGAGGAGGAACCAAAGCAGGAGGGCCCAGAGGAGGAGGCAGATGACAGGACACTCAAAGATGTGTTCAAGACTTTTGATCCCACTGCTTCCCCTTTCTGTCAGTAAACACCCCGAGGTGGAAATATGTAAAAGCCGCAGAAGATTTGTATTTTGATGAAAATATCTATTAATCGTTTTGGAATCACATGAATCTATTTATTTCTGTATATAAATGATCCTGTATAAAACACATACTATCTAGTGCGCCACACATCAGTATGGAGATTATGCTATCTAATGTGCACAGACACAGTGTATAGTTACCTTCAACATAATCTTATTAATGCAGAAATGTGTGTTTTGAAAGTGTGTATGTTACGTTTTTTTATCATTGTGTTATTTCCATGTAGGTTTTAAACAGTTTTTAAAAAGTGTGTCCATTTTTCACTAAGGATTGACGCATATCTTTCCAGGCATTACACATTGTAGATAAGATCATAAACTCACTCTACAGGCAAACGGTTACTAAATAATCCATCAAACAATAATTCTAGGAATTTCCTTGTGAGTGTTTGTATTTCCTTATTTATTTGAAGGCTATTTTATATTATTATTATACCTTACTTTTATGCTCACTTTTATGATAAGGGAAGTTAACAGATCTACTTTTTTATTATTTACTTTGTTTTCATTTAAAGTGGCCTAAATGCTTTGAGGATGTCAAGTTACTGATGTAGGCTTGTCTAATTTGCTTAACTAGCAGTATTGAGAGTCGTTGAGTAAATAATATTGTTTACTTCATTTGTCATTGTCATCAGTCAAAACACGCACTGCTGACAATCTTGTATGGTAAATAGCAAACTGTCTTTCACTTGTTTTTTATCAGAACAAAAAAGAAATTCAAAAAATATATATTGGACCCGTCTCATTGATAGATCGATGAATATGACCTTTATAACTATATTTCATAGAGTTGACACGATAAACTCATGTGGGGTTAACTGTCGTACAAAGGGTGAATGTTGAGGCTGAAGGCGGCATAATGCTCTGCAGTTTATATTATTTTACATTTCTGTGTCTGTTAAGGTGAGACTTGTATGACTGAAACTAAACTGTCCTTTTTTCTAATTATCGTTTTCATACTTCACATTGCAAATCCCTTTTTGTATCACATGTACAGTCTGTTTTTGAGCGTTTTAATGAATAATGCTTCATTTTCCGTTTTTGTGGTGATGGTTGTGATAATACTGTAAGACATTTTAACAACACATGCCTGTCACATTTTAGTGATTTTATTATGATAACTGAAATAAACAGATAAGACATAAGGTATTTTATTTCAGAATCACAAGTTTAATTCTCTCAAAATACAAAATATTTTATGTCATTCACCTTGTTGTAGTGTCCGTGGGCATGACAGTCTGTGAAAAGCTACCTCTAAGGGTTGAGTCGGTTTCATATAATTATTTTAAATAGAAATCAACAATGGGATCCCTTTTAGGCTTCGCAGGTATACCATGATTCATACATTGATTTTGAACTGCAAAGATGATGTAGAAAAGTATTTTGCTTCCCAAGTGTATGCATAGGTTGATGAAATTAGGATCACATTATTTCAGGGGATAATTTTAAATACAAAGATAGGGACAAATATAAAGAATACATGTATATATGTCACAGCCTCACAGGTGTTAACTTGTGGAATGGTTGGGTCAAGAATTTAAGAATATAAAATAAACAAAAAGTTTAAAAATCAGGTGGTAAACGTAAAAAAACAAGATATATTTATTTAGTTTGAAACTTTGGAAAATTGTTTTTGTAAACCTAGAAGTGAACGGGATGCCTATTATGTTATGTACAAAGGTTAGGTTTTAAGCTTAAGCTTGAGACTAAAATCACTGTTTATCGCAAGCCATTTGAGTAGCCTTGATATCAGACGGCAGCTGCCTACACTAGTTGGCTCTTTGATTTCACTTGTTAGATATATGGTCACACTCTGCTTTACTAGTTCAATAAAACATTGTACTAGCCACTCTTTTTAAGCAACTAGTGGCACTTTTGTCTGACTAGTTACCACATAAGCCTTACTAGTGATGCCAGGAGCAGCACTATAGCACCAAAGTACCAACATGTAAGCTTTTTGATGAACTAGTGGCCCTCTGACCGTACTAGTGACACTAAAAGTCTTACAAGTTAACTAGTGCGCTGCAAAAGCTCTGACATGTTAACTAGTTACAAAAAAAGCTGAACTAGTTAACTAGTGGCATACATTTGTCTGCACTAGTTAACTAGTAGCACCCAGAATCACTCACTAGTTAACTAAAGGCTAAATGTTCACTAGTTGACACCTCTTTTGACCTTACTAGTTAACTGTGGCTCAAAATGTCTACACGTTAACTAGTGTACCCTTTGCCCTTTACTAGTTAACTAGTGAGGCTTAAAGGTTCCATTATGGCAAGCCATTTGAGTATTTATTCCATATCCTTGATATCAGACGGCAGCTGCCTACACTAGTTGGCTCTTTGATTGCACTTGTTAGATTTATGTTCAAACTAGTTTGGCACTCTGCTTTACTAGTTCAATAAAACATTATACTAGTCACTCTTTTTCAGCAACTAGTGGCACTTTTGTCTGACTAGTTACCACATACAGTATACCTTACTAGTGACGCCAGGAGTAGCATTAGTAGCACCAAAGTCACAACTTGTAAGCTTGTTGATGTTGTTGGTGGCCGCCGTCTGATATCAAGGATATGGAATAAATACTCAAATGGCTTGCCATATATGACCATATATCTAACAAGTGAAATCAAAGAGCCAACTAGTGTAGGCAGCTGCCGTCTGATATCAAGGATATGGAATAAATACTCAAATGGCTTGCCATAACTGTTTATAAGTACTACTTGTAGCCAACTGGCGAGGCAAGACTGGGCGCGACAGGGTGGGACGAGGTCTTCCTCAAACCCAGCTCATCAGTCTCTGGGTTGGAGGTCTGCTGGGCTCGATGGATCTCTAATTTCCTCATCCACTGAAAACACAAGGCTGTAGCCTCGGCACCATCTGAGTTTGGCTCCGGTTGCCTCAAACCCTGGAAAGAGAAAGACATTTTGCATGCAGCAATTCACATAACAGAGAGTTAGAGCTGTATTGTATCAATCTGAGAAAACTTCCTAATTAATGCTTGTTTTTTAGATAACATTTTTACAGTGATGCAGGCTGACTCTGCCGCGTGGACTCCTCGCAGGACAGTTTGGAGTAGATTCTGAGTGTTCTTCACCAGGATCTCATCAGATGATTTGCAGCCAGGTGTTACAGCATTGACGCTATGAATAAAAAGCGTCCAGTTATTAATGTTTTCTAGCTTAGTTCTTCTCACCATGTGTCATACTCATACACTATACCAACCAGGAGATGATGTTGAGCTGGTTGGCGATGGTGAGAATCTGCTCAACTACGAGGGAAAGTTCAACTGTGCACTGTTTATCCAGGCAGTGGTTGGCAATAACTCCGAGGAACTGAGTTACTGACTGGCTGTTTGAGATCACATCTTTGGCTGCAGTGACAAATGCCTCTTTATTCTGTAAAAGAAAGAATGATTGTAGATGAGGGTGCCTACAAATATCCATAGATCCATGCAGTAAAGGGCCCTCTGGTGGTTATTACCGGTATTGGTCCTTTCTTCTTCAAGTACTGAGTCATATAACATAGGGTGTCAGCCATCTTCCTTGTCACCTGGACAATTCGGTTGTCCTTGGGATCCCAGCTGTCACTTTCTTGCTTAAGAAAAAGCGACGTGTGTGTCAACGAGGGAGTCTCGTTGTATGCGCCAAACCAGACACCTACCTATAGATAAAAACATGGAGGTGAGTTATTGAGACATAAAGGAATCACCACATTTTAAAACAGTGTTAATATTGAGATACATACATATTTTTCCACATTTCCAGGTCCGAATTTGGCCACAGCTTCCATGTTCATATTGGCTTCTGCAGCATTAACACTGTCTGTGTGGCCTTTCTGCCAGGATGTCATTGTCGTGTCAGAGCGAAATTCCACCTCTTTGTCTTTAGATGGCACTGTAGCCAACACTTCTCTGACATCCTCATATGTTTTGCCCTGTAGACCTATCATGATTTGCTCTTTTGCCTCTTGGTGAATCCCATCCTGCTTCCTGACCTCCTCCACCACATAGTGAGCTTTGGCTGACCAACACTGTATCTGCACATCCAGACTGAGTGTGTCACAAATGTAGTGAGTCTCCACCATGAGCCTCGCCCTGCTGATTATATCTGAGATCTGAAAAGACAGGTGGTCGTTGATAGACCTCAGGTTAGAACGGGCACGTGGGTCACGGACGTAGTGTAAGCAGTCATCGACTCTTTTTATTGCAGGTTTTACATTTTCCAAAAGTGTTTCCGCTGCGCTGTCAAACGTTTGCTCTGCTTCTTCTGTGTTGTTCTCCTGAAACTGTTGAGCAAAATCATGAGCAATGCCGACAATCTTTTGAATTGCTGTGTCATAATCCTTATTTGCTTTGCTTAGATGAACAAAAAGCACTCTAATTTTAATCAAAAGATGTCTCTGAAAAAATTCAGATTTTGCAAGTTGCATTACACTTGGCATTATGTCAAGCTCTTCGGCAGCTTTGAGAAATGCTTCAGTCAGGGATTTTAGTTCATCCTGGTAATCTGTTATCTGTTTCGATTTGTAAGCACTTTTACAATTAAGGCTGGTTAGCCGCGCTGCCTCTTGGATTCGTAGTGAGTTCTCTGACAACACTGAGAGCTTTTTCTGAGGGCTCAACTGGTGCACTGCGGTCGATGTTCCCATAATCTTATCAAGAGAATTTAGCAAAATCTGAATGGATAGGCCCCAGAGGATACAAAGTGCCTCTAGTTGATCTACCTGTCCTTTCAATGAGGTGGAAAACTCTACCAGATATTTTGTGTTGTTGTGGGCTTTGTTCAGCTTGTTGTGTAAAACGCTCAATGTTTCTTGACCATCGCTTTGTGAGGGTAAATCAGATGATGTCAAAAGCTGGACCACATCAGCACATAAAGTCATCACTTCATTCAGTTGCTGCGAAACACTGGCTGCCATTGTTGGCCGATTTCCTTGCAGCTCAGTATAAATAGCTTGATACCAGGCTCCAGCTACTGGCAGTAAAACCTTTCGGGTGTTGTTAATAAGATCAGTAAACTGCGTGCTGTGTTTGTAGAGGCTCTCCATGCTCATTGCTGAACTCATTGCCGTTTCTTGAGCCGTTTGGACGAGCAGCGGAGTTAGTGACACCACCTCTGCTCTAAAACTGTCCAACGTCTTACAATCAACCGCATCAACAATGGCCATGGCCTCCTTTGTGGCTTGGGCGTAGCAGTTTGACAGCTCGAGAACACCAGTGCAGGCACGGTTGAGTTCTGTCACATCCTTCCCTTTAGTCACAGTCACAACTTCATACAAGAGGGGTAAAAGGTCAAATTCAAGAGGCTTGTGGATTAGTTTGGGCTCAACGGAGACAGCTGGCATCTGTAAATCATCAATGTCATATTTACGAGCCAGTTCTGCTTCTATGGTTTCCTCATCTGAGTGCTCCTCCTCATGTACGATGTGGGAATCCCTCTCTGTAGCCTCAAAAACAAGGGAGCCTTTTATCATATGATCCAGGTGAAGTTCACAGGTGTCTTTGACTAATACACATGACCGTGAGACTTCTGGTTGACGTGCCCCCTCGCGCAATGGGCTAAGGAGATGCGGATGTTGTTGGCCGTCCAGTCCCTTTCTGAGCACTTTTAAATGTTGAATAGCCATAGAAACATTATCTGAGAAAGTAGAATATACCTCTACGTTTAGACTGGAACCTAAAAGCATGTCTCTGACTGACTCTGCCACTTTGGTTCGAGATGACTGAACCTGTTTGAGCAGTACCAGGAGGCCATTTCTGTAGATTGGGTCATTACTTCTGTCCAAGTGCCTCCTCACTGAGTAAACTGCCAGCTTCAAGTGACAAATAAGGTTTGCTGCATGTTCATTAAACAGTTTATAGCTTTGCTCTCTGTACGCTGTGACACATCCATGCTGATCACTGACCACCTCATCGATAGCAACGCTGGTGAACTCTCTCACATCCATTACATCACTGAGAGCATCCTGAAGCTGACTAGTCTCCTCCTCCCATTTCTGACACACTTCATGAAGCTTTTGAACAGTTTGCATCGAATTATCTGCCAGCTCAAGTGACAGAGATGCGATCCGAGCCCTGAGTCTTGTAAGGCTTACTCGCGAGTTCTCAACATTCTCCAAACTCTTCGCATCAACAGCCACAGCTGAGATGAAATCTGCCACTTGGATTATTCTATCAGTGGAAGATATCAAATCTTCAACTAGTGGCTGAATAAAGGTTAGATCTGTAGAAGAATGCGAAACCAGGATCTGTCTCGTCACACTTAAAAGTTCCTCCACTATAGAAGATGCTGTCAGAAATGTGTCCAAGACTTGATAATGAACAGTAGTCATCAAAGATTTGTCAAGCGTTTGTATTTGTTGCGCCAAAAAAGTGCAAGGCTTTTCAACGCTCTGCTCTGAATCATCCTCTGAGGACTTTAAAATCATTTTTATGTCTGACCAGAACTGCAGGATGTGACGACAATGAGCGACCACTTTTTGTTGAAACTCCCTACGAGAAGAGTTTGCCACCACCATACAGTGAAACACAATATCCCTCACCAGGCTGTCAAAGCTAGAGCCTTGGATTGATGAGGTGGTAGAACTAGTAAGTAGTTGCAAAAGACTGTTCCTCCTCTCTGTGTAATACCCGCAAGGACCCATTGATGTACTGTGACATTCACTTCTCAGGGTTTTAATAATGTCATTCACTGTGCTCTGCACCTTGTCCAGGATATACCTCTTGGCTTCCTGCGCCTCCTCGCTTGTTGGATGTTTGATGGTGGTACACATGGCCGTGTGCAGCATGGAGATGCACCGCCTCAGGGTCTCTAAGGAATCTAGAAGCTGTTCGGTTTGTCTTGGGTCCTGTAAGGCATTTGCTCTCTCCATTGTCAGACTATGGAGAATAAGCAGAGCCTCAGAAAACACCTGGAAATATTTGAGTAGAGACTTGATGTCTATGGAGGAGCCGAGATCAGAGAGGCACTCCAAAACCTGATCAGAAGCAGCTACCACTCTCCTGATATTTGCATCATCGTCCACTAACAGAACCTAGGAGCACAGTGGCAGAAAAAGGAACGTGTTACTGCTTGTTGTGATTTTCTTAGCTAAGCTATAGAGCAGTGGTTCTCAAATGGGGGTATGCGGACCCCTAGGGGTACGTTGGAGTACTGCAGGGGGTACGTGAGATTTATTTTATGGTAATGAAAAAAAAAATATATATAGATAAATATACCAATTTTAGGAAAAGTAACGAAGTTTGAGCAGTGTGGGTTTTATATTAATAGATTAGAGTTACACATATTTCAAAACACGAAGTGTAATGATTGCAGGTTGCCTCCCTGTCAGAATGACAAAGATCCTCAGTGAAGCACAAGCCCATGTTTCTCACGACATTGTAAGTACAACTTATTAAAAAGATCAGTTCAACGCAACTAATGTCATCTTAGTGTTATTGCATGATGTTAAAATTGGTTTGCCATGAATTTAGTGATGGATTGTAAACATTTGAAATGTAGCATTTAAGTGTTTCTCAGTTACAATGTTGTGGTTTTAATAAATCAGACACTGATGGTGCGCTGATCAGGGCTGAATATTTTTTTCAAAGGGGGTACATTATTGAAAAAAGTTTGAGAATCACTGGTATAGAGGCATCAAACTGTGATGAAATGGGGCGTGTTGACTTTGGTGATCTTGTAACCTTTCCTCATTACAAACCGACATTTGTATGCACATACATCACGAATGAAAACCAGTTGTGGTACAAAGGTACTATATATAATGTCACTTATATTGCTGTACGAGTGCCTAATATTCTGAGAAAAGCAATATTGGGTTAAGGCCAGATAGTCTTGCAATCCATACCTGATGATTTGATAATGATAGTGAAAAAACGTGATCCGTAAGTGTGCTAAAATAGTTTTCTCCGATCTAAAGAGCCTTTTCAAAAACCATATGGAATACAAATGAAAGGGTCTCAAACACCATGTGATTTTATACCAGAGCATAACGTATTGTAAAATGAAAGAGATTATGACAGTCTCAACTTTTGTGTCCGTTTAATACATGTACATGCAGTAGCTGATGTATACCTTTATAAAGTATAGACAATGAAATAAAGATAAGATATCAATCAGTAGCATACAATAAAAACGGTATCTGTCTTCACAAATTAACAAAAAAGTTATTTCTAACAACATTGGAAGCTGAGGGGAAGGATCATGAATCAGAGGTTCAGATTGTTCAGGTGCTAAGTTTAAATAGTTGGTGATTTGGCCTTTTATTGTATTAAGAAGTATTCCCTTTTAGGGATACATCTGGTAAAGTATTCATCAGATGCAGCTGTGGAAGATGAATCTATTGTAACATTTTTATGCTTTTAATCAGTCAGTGTCTGCAGCCATTCCTTCCTCCCTAACTCTGCACCACACACAACAACCAGCATGGACGTTGTAATATGTTATATTGAATTTATATTTAGTAACATACTTGGAACCCCCTTCTAAACCAAGACAAACAAATAATACTTTACTTTGACTACTCCCAGGAAGACATTCTGTGTTGCAGTGATGAGTTCCTCTCTGTGCTCAGTCAGACTGGGCTGGATGTTGAGTTTCTGGGCCGCCAGCAGCACATGTTGTCCAGACACAGTGACAGACTCAAACAGGGACGACATCTCCATGTGCAAAACCTCATCCTCTGTGTCACGGATTACCCTGAAAAAAAGGAGCCTGGTGTTAATTTGATAATACATTACACGTGTCCTTTTAACCCCATTACACACCAAACTGTACCCACCTGGAGGCCTCTGCTGCCATGTTTTCAGTCGCTTTAGCCACGGCCTGGGCTGCACCCTCCAGCTGGGTGAAGTGCTCAGGGTCCTCTGCACCGTCACACAGCAGCACCAAGTGGCACAAATGACTTGCGATTGGGGCGACCACCCTCTCCACTGCGGCAGTCCTGATCAATCCATGCTCAAATAAAGAGGACATAGTGAACAGGGTGATTCTCCGGGGTCAAAAGAAAGTTAGCATTTGTTGATGTGTCCCTGCTGTATTCAGTGTGGTAGCTATATTAATAATTCAGCGAGCTTCACAGAGGAGCTTGTGCTTGGTATCAGTGTTTCATGGCAACCGGGGTCACATGAACAAACACAAGCTGCCTCTTTCCTGACAGATTGTAGAATGCAGTTATTTTTGGACTATTTGATTACTTGTTTGTCGAGTGGATTTAGCAAAAGTGGGACATTTAAAAAAGAAAATTATAATCCTGAAACCTTTAAATAATACTGAAATCTTGCAACAACAGGACTTTCATTAAAGATTGATAAGAAGGGGCTGTAAATTAATTGGACCTTGGTTGGGCCATAGTTACACTATTAATTGTATTTAATTAGTAGATATAGAAAATATTGAATTGCTCAAGTATTTGAAAGTTGCCCACTGCTGAATTCACCCTCAGTAAACTGTAAAAAATGCCTGCCGAAATGTCTAATTTCCCAAAACAACATCTTCAAATTGCCACTTTCATCCAAACAAAACCAATGACAAACATTCGTAACAATAAAACAGTGAAAGGGAGTAGATCTCTAAACAGCTGGAAATAGAGAATATATGGCATCTTTTCTCGATAAATGAAAAATCATCAAAATGATCTTTGTTTAATTTTCCGTTAAAGGAACAACTCTTTCAGCGCTGGCTGTACATACAAGCAATGCAAAGTAAGAACCCTTTCAATAAAATGCTGTTTTTGCACAAAATAACTTGATGTTCAAGAAAACATTACTGCATAACGTACCTCCAACAGTTGGTTGAGTTTTCTTTTAACTTTAAATACTTACTTGTTTTTTTGTCTGGAGCATTGCAGCCAGCAGAGAGCACCACACACCATCAAAAAACAAGTGAACCAACACACACCCACTCTTTCTTGACTCACGTTGACAAAAACAGCACACAGAGCCATTAACTTTCACTCTAACATTTATCAACAGATAAATATACAGCTCCAACATGAATTTAAACATCAAACATACAGCACACTATAATGGAAATGATATTCAGTGACAGTAGTATACTCAGAACAAAAACCCCAAATAACGGTGTGATTACCGGTGACAACAATCATATAAACAAAATATAACCCTCACAGTTCAAATATAACAGAAATGGTCAAGTCTCAGTTTCGAGCATCGCTTTAACAGATGCAGAGCGAAGACGTGAATGTGTACAATATATGCCTTCATGCCAGTGGAATTAAATGTTAAAATAAAGTGTGTAAGAGATTCATACAGACAACAGAGAGCCGAGCAATCATAGTGAGCCATTAAAGTGACTTAGCACCGACGTGTGAAACATATTAAAATATAGTTTTTGTTCTTTGGCATTGCACGTTTAAATCTGCCATGGCAAAAATATCTGTCAAAACCAAGCTTTAAAAAGACTCCGGAGAACATGTGGGGTAACAATGCGAGCACTGAGGAACTTTTAGAGTGGCAGATTTTTAGGGAGCTGACATTCCTACATGTTGACTTAAAACAAGCTTTTCCCATGAGCCCAAAAGAGCGCGTTTATGTGTAGTGATTGAGTGCAGCACATTCCCACCTATTTTTAGGGAATTACTCATGCCATGGGCCCCTTTAAATGACTGTAGGTGGACCCCCATCGCAGACTTTCATCTGGCCGTGGAGAATAATGGATCTCGTATTTCACGCTAAAACCCAATGCCTAATAACATAATAGTAAAATTGAATATGGCGAAGTCTAGAGAGGCTTTGGAAATGAATCATGATCAGGTATGTGTCATGACGTAAAGTGAATCTTCTTACGGTATTCAATCTTCACTTGAACCTGGAGACTTTTGGGGGCTCTGCTGCATACCTGAGTAATAGTTTCTTGCAAAAGCAGATTTAGAGAAAATACTCTAATGGACATTGCACTTTCTAAGCATGTGTTCATTCAAGGCATTGCAGAGTTTCAATTTTAAATCTGACACAAATATGTTGTTATCATCTTTAAGCAAAAGCCACATCATAGCTAATGGAATACTTATGGAAAGTCAAAAAGCTGGTGTAAGTCACAACCACTTCATTTCAGGCGTGGATAATAAAGGCAAATACAGTCTAAATAAAGAAGAGAGTGCGGTTGATTTGCACATCCTGAACCAGATCCTAATGACCTCAGCGCCTCTGAGACAACCCTGACAACACTAGCGGATGACATGAGCAGGATACGTTGTTTTAATCATGGCGTGTGTGGGTCTCAAGCACAGAATTAGCTCCGGCTGATTATCTGTGTGAGGGAGATGCAGTCAGATGTGTAGAACAGATATTTATACGGCGGAAATAGTACAGAAGAGATACAATCTTTCACTCCCAGGCAGAACTGCATATACGAACAACTCTATCATATACTGTACAGGACATATCTTTGGCATAAAAGTAAAGCTATGCAGCCAAGGCATTCATTCTTATCAAACATCAGTGCTTTAAGGAAAACATACTGTAGATAAGTATGTTTATAATGGCCTTCAAAACCCCATCTCTTCTAGAAGCCCGGTTTTTTATTTTACAATATGGCTTAAAGTGTATGTATAAAAATAAATGTGCTATGTAACACAGCCCTGAGGGTTTTGTTGTCCACCAGTATTCATGCCGTCTCCACATCCCCGTACGGATGTGGGTCTCCATCAACAGCTCCACTCTCGCTGGCTGGGAGTTACCTCCTATGAGATTAGCTGAATTCTACAGCAAGTGTCCTCTGGCAAGCCACACTGTCACCTCAGAAGCCTGTTTCCTAGACCCCCACCCACAAAAAAAGATCAAGTCTCCAAAAAATAAGGAGAATATTCTTCTCTTCCACATATGGAAGACTGAAGGGCCTGGTGCCACTGGGGCGGCTGGGCTGCGAGACCACGTGCTATTGGATCCTTCCCGACCCAATCCCTAATCTCATTGGCTCCTGTGGGACCCCCACTGCAAGTCTCAGTGGTTCTTTTCCATCCAGTCCCAGCTTTCATCACTGTCCTTCCTGTTTTTTTCTGCCTCGATGATTTCTCTGTAGCGCCGACGGAAGAATCCCATCTGTCAGAGAAGGAGAGGAACAACAGTTGGAGTGGTCAGTAACTAAGTAATGTGTATCTGTGGTCGCATCAGACAGTAATGAAAAACTGTGATTTTGCATATTTGAAATCAGTACAAATCACATATAATTAGATCAATGCTGATCATTTTCCAAAGCTTATTATAACTGTTGATAGTAGATCATTATTTTCTGACGTCATTACAAATTTGCGATGGGTAAGGCCTAGTGTGAGCCCATCCACTAGATGATAATAGCTATCGTGGATCAGCTTAAAGTCTGTTATTGGGAAATATGTCACCCATAAAAGGAAGAGTTTAAAATGGATTAACCCATATTTTGGTCTTTTGCAGAGATATGAGGAAAATATGAAGCTACATTCAGCCTCTCGTTAGCCGATTACAACACAATGAGGCGTTACAGTCGGTAATGTGCACTTTCTCGACTGGGTGCAGTAACTTCTTGGCCAAGAAATATTCCTTTGAGTAACAAGACATTATAAGTCCATAAATCCACAAGATGTTTTGATGGTAATTTGGTGGTGATTTAGAAACAGTGTTGTCATTCAATTCCAAAAATTACTTCAGGGAGCATTACAAAATGTAAGTATCAGTATTTTGACTGGACCGCTCAGTGCATAACCTGATTCTATAACTCAGTATACTGTGAGTAATCCTTGTACAACTATTGGAACCTTTTTAAAAAATGTGGTATTGGTCGGATGATACTGTGAACAGTTGGTAAAATGATGAGTCATTTTTTTTCATGCATATTGAAGAAGGCGCTCTTTTGTATTGAGTCTTTTGGAAGTAGTTACATTGTGTCTTTGTGTGGTTATGCAATCGCTGCAAGGGACTATTTGACACAACCTTATGGGATTCAGCTGTAAAACAGCAACCTTTTTCGACAAAATAAAACAAAACAAATTATGGATTTAAACATGTTCTTGTTTGTCTTCTGGATTTGATTTTACATTGCTTTCAAAGCTGCATCATTGAAATAATAACGTCATTTGTAATCACCATGGAGGACTATACTGTACATCCTAAAGTTACACATTTAAAAAGAGATTCCCCCTGCAGTGAAACAAATGGCAAGCAATGGATGTTTGGGCGGTAGGAAATGAATGTAAAACATCCTGGCATGGTATGCTTTGAAAAATGGCTGGCAGTTATTTAAAGTTTACACAATTGGAAGTTATTTAACCACAGAAAACCACCAACGTGGATGGAAGCAAATTAAACATTTCCCCTCTAGAAATGTGTTGTTTCTGTATGAAAGTAATATTGTACTCAGATTTACATTAACCTACCAAGTGTCATATACAGGAGATATGAAAGGATGGAGAGGGCAGTAGATCTCAGTGTGTATCTAAACAAAGACACACTGGGAGGATGCCTCTCTCACTACGACTCCATTAATTTATCAGCGTTTGGCTCCTAAAGCTTATTGATACAGACCTGTACTCTCCTCAGGCATTTCCTGAAAAGAGCAATACAGGACTCTTGTAAGTGGGGTTTATTTTGGCAAGGTCCGACAATCTGTGGATGGGGGGTTCGAAATGTATCCCCAGACCAACATTCCAAGGTTTCGGTGTGGTATTCCCAATGGAAAATGAAGCAGTGAAAAAGAAAAGGAGTTTTGTTCTCTAGACATCATTGTGTTTGCCATTTCCCTTTCTTCTCTCATGTTAGTGATGGTATGGTGTGAATTATTATCCTGTCTCTTATTTGTCCTCTTCAGTTAAAACCTCCAAAACAAGCTCTTACCTTCACCACTTCACTTTCCTCAAGCTGTCTCTTTACAACTGGATACTGTGCTTCTGGCTCAAGTTTATGACAACTGCCTTTTGTTTATTTAAAATGTTGCAAGAAAAAGAAGCAGTGAGTTATGTGTTGGTTACCTTCCAGAGTAGCACAGCTAACAGCAGGAAGATGAGGATTCCCACCAGCAGACTGATGGCGATGATCCAGCCGACTACGTAACCCCTGGGCTCCTGACTGTGGAGAGCCTCAAACACCAGCTGTAACACAACAATTCAGTCGTCCAGTGAGTCATTCGCAAATAAAAAACACAAACGACAGTGATCATTAGGTCATGTGCTGCCAGGGGCGGATCTACCGGGGTGGCATGGGGTGGCAACTGCCACCCTAAACAATAGCCTTGCCACCCCAGCTGCCACCCCAGTTGGCATCTTTGTTTTGAAAGAAAAGTTGTGGCTCATCGGACATTTATGAGAGAAAGTCTCTAATATCCGAGTGCAAGTGAATGCAGCACAAGATGCACGTCATGTAACCCCTCCCCCGGTCCTGGCGCGAGAGTGGAAATATGATTGGTGGCGAATTCACTTGAACCAGAGCCCTAGAGAGATGCGCAAAACGAGAAGCCTTTCGGACCCAAGCACTGAAGGAATGAGGTAGTTGCGGTCTACAATGACAGAGAAGAGAATGTCAAGTTTGGCTGTACTCAGCATTGAATCAAAACGCACTACAGCTGTTGATCTTAATAAGTTTGTGAGGCGTTTTGCTGAACAAAATAGTAATCGCCGCATTCAGCTGTAATAGACATGCCAACTTGATGCTCTGCTCACGGATGACTCGATGAGAATAACAAACTGTTAAGATGATGACCTTGTATGCGTGTATATATATTTTTCTTTGAGGGGGTCTGCCCCCAAAAAACAGTTTTAAGTCCTGAGAAAGTAAAATAAGACGGTGTGTAAAACTACACTGCCCAGCCAACAGAAAGTAACCACTTTGATGTAACTAGGCCAGTAGGTAATGACCTTCCACTGGATAATAACTGCAGCGATGTTTTAGCTGAATACACGTTTTTTAACCCTAACTGATGCAGTTAGTCACTTCTTTAATGTTTGTTCTTTCTGATGTAAAGTCAAGGTTGTAACTGTATATCAATAATGATATAATTACTTGTTTTTCAAATTTGAAGGACAGTGAGTAAGCATCTTGATGAACATTCATCATTAACTCCTCCAAAAAATATAGTTTATTCAATAATAAATGAATATGTGAATCATAACAGTTCTTCACTATATCTGTAAAGCGTCTTTGAGCACCTGTAAAAACGCTAACAAATTAAATCTATTATTATTATTATTATTTATTAACAGTGATTGACAGCTGATAGGAATAATATGATTGTTAATAGTATCATATTCATTCAGACAAACATCGATGAGACAGTTCATTAATGTACTTATTGCAGCAGTCTGTATATATTTGGTACCCCTGCTGGTCTAAGAGTGAGACAAACTCATTCAGTTATTGTTCAGTTAAAATTCATTAAATTACGTCTGCCACCTTATATGTAAGGCTTTACTGATGTGCCACAATAATATCACCTATGTGATTGAGTTAAAATATTAATATTGTGGCTTTCCAAGTTAACATTGATTGTAGGGGTGTAACGGTTCACAAACATTTCGGTTCGGTACGTACCTCGTTTTTAGGTCACGGTTCGGTTCGGTACGTTTTCGGTACATCAGAAAAAATTATCACAAAACATTAAATATTTTTTTTAAATTATTATTAAACTGACTAATGTATTCAAATAAATACAAAATATAGTAAAATAAACATTATGGTGCAGCATTTCGATGAACTGAAATAATCTGTATTTGAACTGTACTAGTACCTAAGCAGCCAGCTTGACATGAGGACTCGCTTGTCATTGTATTTTCATGTTGTTTTAAAGAAAGATGAACTTGTCCACATTGCTTGCCGAAAGGGCAGATCTGCTGGCACTAACAATGTCTCCTGCTGTGGAGAACACCCTCTCTAGGGACAGAGGTAGCAGATACAGCCAGGTAGCGCTTTGCTAACATGGCAACATAAGGATATTTGGCGTTTGTAATAGCTTTGGCTCGGTCTGAACTTTTTGCGAGTGGTGGAGGCTTACATGCTAGCGGGAGTTGGGTTTGCACTTCAGTCTTTTTTCTTTTGGTACCGGTGATATTCACGTTCGGGTGATGCCTTTTCAAATGAGTGTGCAAGTTTGATATATTGCCAGCCGCGTAACCAATTTTAGTTGAACAATGCCGACAAACAGCTTTGGTTCGGTCCACCTGTCTTTGTCCGTCATCCTTGTACGTAACTGCGAAATCAAAATGTTCCCAAACCGGAGACTTCAATGATGCTGGAGGATTTTCAGCTCAACTTTATCTACGTTCGCCATTTCGACAGTTCCTCAAATTACTGACTACATTTGAACGCATCCCTGTGACCAGCTCTCATAGTATGCCTCTCGTCCAATGAAATGACTTGGTCGCTCTATGATATATACCTGAGATTACTTCCAGAAAGTTGTTCTCAATTTTTTACGTTTAACGCTATATTCGTTCGGTACACACGTGTACCGAACCGAAGGGACCGTACCGAATAATTTCAGTACGGGTACGTGTACCGTTACACCCCTAATTGATTGATATGATTGCGATTTCAATCAGCATATACTTCTGTCAGGGGATGCCACCCCTCAAAATCTCCTGCCACCCTCTTGCCACCCCATGAATATTTGTCTAGATCCGCCCCTGTGTGCTGCTAATTATGCAATGCAGTGCAACATTATCAACCAAGACACATCGTATAACAGTTTGTATTCAAAAGAAAGCATGACTCTTAAGAAAACCATACAGCATTAAACCTCGACAATAATGTGCTTTATTTTATATTGAACACGTCTAGTCAATAAGTCATACCAAAGAAACACATGTTAGCATGCTAATGTTAGCTTTAGCTCGATGTGCAGCCTAAGAGATCTGCTAGCATGGCTGTAGAGATTTGGTCTCGGTTTCTTTGCCTTTAACTGTCTAACAAGACTTTGCCTTTATAACTGGTTTGAATAACATCACTAATGAGTAAGTTTGACCATCATGGTTTCACGTAGCACTGCTCTATGTGTAAAAGGCCAGCAAGTGCTTATAGTATTAGGTCAGTGCATCTCAAAAATATATCATCCGCAATCAGGGGAGGCTTGGCAACTCTTATAAATAGCCGGTTTCCACAATAAATAAGAGCTACTTAGGCTGTTTCCCAGGACATTACTGAAAACTGACATGCTGGATAATCTGTCACTGATAGCAAACTCAGTTCACTTAACCCAATGCAGAGTGTAAAACTGTAGAGAAGTAGCAACAGCTGACAAATACACAATTGTTTTATATCACTTCCGAGCACATTTTTTAATTATTCGATTGTTACATTTGTGCTTGATGCTTCCATACATGAGTATTTTCAATCACAATTGCATTGACTGTTTAAACGGATTAGCACTGAACCAACAGTGGTCAGACTTCAGTGAATTATTGCATTACTGTGCACCACAGCTACTTCAGTGTCATCATTCAGGCCTTAAATGGAAAACAACATATTCACTAGGATCATGGAATAGATGGGTTTGTTTACTAATGATGCTAAACAAAGGAAACAAATATGTAATCTCCCAAATGTCAGATAATCTTGTTTTAATACAATCATTTGTGGGCCAATTTCACATATGGCTTGAGGAATGCACTGCTTCAACGTGGAGTGCCGCATGGGCTTTGAACACCAATGGGGCATGAGACGCCAACTGTGAGCCAAGACATAACCAAGAGAACAAGCGGAGATTAATCTCTCTGTTGAATAGTTTCCCACATTAACACCTCCTTACTCCCAGCTCTGGAATCTAACTGTTGTTGTGCATGCCAGGGCGCTTGCGTGTACAGAATAGTTGAAAGCTCTACTGGTCTACGATCTCTCCCAGTTTAACTTGCGCAATCAATTAATTTGAGGAATGTGTAATTGTTCATTCAACGGCAATGCTAAATTTGTAACTTGCGTAGCCACAACAGAATCTTATTGATGTATGTTGGTTATTTACACGTCACAGAGGTTAACATTTGAGGAATGCCATTCGGCTGACCTCCAGTCGGCTCGTTTTGAGAGATACAACCAGCGGCCACAAATCAAACTGGGCAGTGTGTACTCTTACCACCCTGAGGGAAAAGGTGACTGTGTTTACTGAAAGAGCTAAGCGTGGTAACAGTAGCTAGAATGAGCACACTTATTATGTGATGAAAGAGAGGAATGGTATGGACATATTCATAGCGGGTCAGAATTTTCCGAGACCCTCTGAAGATGGGGGTCAGCGGAGCTGCAGCCTCGGTCAGCACCCTCATCACTCGAGAGGTCCCACTGCGAGCATGCTGGGTGCTCAATGTAATCATCACATCTGATCTGGTGGGTCTTTCAATCACTCAGCAAACAACAGTAGGGGGAGGGTCTGTCCTTGAGCACAGCTGAGGAGCCCGAAAAAAAAGCCGATAGAAGTGCCACCGTACAGCTCCATACCCACAATCCCCAGCTGTTCCCTGGGCTCACATCAGCGGCAAGGATTGTTTGACTACAGCACAATGGAGTGCGCAGCTAAAGATAACATTATTTATGCGTATTGATAGAACCGTGATGTAGTGAGTACCCTGTCCTTCAACCTGAATTCAAGACGCACGTATTATTCTAATTGTATTTAACCTTCATTTAAATAGATAAGCTCATTGAGACACAGGGTTTATTTCTTAAGATAGACCTGGTTATATCAGCTTTGATGACACACGCCCTTTGAGCAAGACATGGCAGCCTAGCCAGCTGTTCAAGTTCTGTTAGCCTGTGAATCTTGGTAAGAGAAAATGTGTAAAGGCTTTTAATCCAGACTAAGTTAACAAAATGAACACGTTTTAAAGGATCAGCTCACCAAAAATGACGTAAGACATAAATGATATATCAACCAAAACAAGGAGATAAAATATAAAGATAAAGAGGCTAAAAGCTATGTTTAACTGCAGATCGTGTTAAAATGTACGTGTGTTTGTTTTAATTACACATTAGTCATCTGACATACTGTAAATACAATATATTATATAAAAACAGAAGTACTTTTTAAACACTCAAACTTTGCAAGTCTTCACCTGATTGTGGTGTTCACTTTAGTTATTTTGTGTGCAGTGATTTACCATTTTTGCATTCTGTCAAAAGTGGCTATTTATTGCAGTTAATGTGGGTAGAAAAGGTTCATAATATACTCACAGAAAGATCATCTGGAAGGCCATTCGGCACCTCCACTGCCCTGTCATTCACTTGCACGCTGCCCCGTGTCACAAACTGGATCAGAGAGGAACTATCCTGTGGGTTGAGTTACGTTGTTAGGTTGTATTTGTATCATAACAACCTGCAACTACATTTAAACGTTTGTGACATGGTTCTTACCCGCTTGAGAATTTCGGTGTTGAGTAAAAGTTTTATGTCTATACTCAAAGCTTCTTCTTTTAATTGTGGGCCCAGACTGCAGGAGATCGTCATACACGCTCTTCCAGGCCGGTCACAGTCCTTTTCAGATAGACGGAGAAAAGAAAACACAGTGGGAAAGAGCAAGAGAATGTGTGTGGGAGAGTAAAGGATGTCTGATAAACAGATGTTACACTGAGAAAAAAATAAAAACAGGAACCCTCACTGGGGGTGACTCTCAGTGACCTCTGTAATGTCAAAGTGCAACATGAGGGCTGCATATTTACCAGGACTTTGCGTCCAGATTTGGTGAAAAAGGCAAATATGGAGTGGAAGATGCTCTCTTTATCCTGAGGGATGGTGCACGGCGTAGGGTTCCTGTGGGGGGTGCAGTTCCCTCGGCCGTCTGCCACCTGAAACCAGACAGAAGTTGAATTAAATTGAGTTGTGTTGGCTAAGATTTGAAGGTAAAATCAAATGTGTTGAACACAAATTAAGGTATAAGTACACATCTGAGGGCAAAATAAAGGGCAAAATGTTAGATATTTTTTGGAGTTTGGGCCATTGCATACAGTATACAAATAACACTGACATATACATGTCAGTGTTATTTCACTATTTGAATATGTGGATTTCCCCTAAATTCACATTACATAATGCTTCATTTGCATTTGAAAAAAAGTATTTGAAAAAAACGTGTACTAAAAAATCCACTCGGGAAGCTTTATGGTGATATATATTAGTTACAAATGTTACCTGGACTGCAATTCAAATTGTTTGGGATTTCACAAAAATGTTTCATACACAAAAATCTATGCAAATTAACACACATTTAATAAGGTAATTCCACATTTGACTCTTACAATCTTAAATTCCAGAAAACCTGACATACAAAAAATAATGTTCTTAATGTAAGTTAACAACAAAGGAACTTTAATGTGTAAATATGGGTTAAAATGTATGACCTTGTCACAAAAAGTGTTGTCATGTCTACGTTGCAAAAACATGTGTAACACTCCAACTGTAGACACAAGCACTTTTGTCCCCTTAAAATAGTCCAATCACACTATTGTTATGAGTCTCCCGGGCTCACAGGAAGTTCTCCCCAACAAGAAACTGGTACCCCTCCCAGCCAGATTTCCCATATGGAGTGATTTAGAGGTGTCTGCTTTACTGCCCAGCCCCTTGGGAGCACTTCCCCTTTCCCCTCGCTCCGACTTGAGGCTCTGGAGGTGGAAATCTCCTCTGGCCTTCCTCATTGTCCGCTCTGTTGCCACCCAGCAGGACAGAGCTTTTATTGCGCTGCTTTCCCATGTCCTGTGTTAGTGCTGCTGTTTCTGCTGTGAAGATTCATAGACTGCACTGACCCTCACAGAAATGTCACATTTTCACGATTTAGTTTTTTTTGCAGAAAAACTAATACATATGGAGCAACAGTCAGGAACTTGTATATCAGGTCTGAACAAATGGAGGTCTGTATAGAAATGTAAGAATATCTGGCAATAAAATATCAACTGTCCGGTGTGTCGCAGACTAGGCGCAGTGTTAACAGCTTTAATGATGTGTGTTTCCAGGTCTGGGGATGGTACTGGGCAGTAGCCAGCTCTGCAGGTGTCCCATTCCCGTTTCGTGCAAGCTGTCTGATCCCCTGAAAGTGATTCCAGATGGGCTCAAGGAGGGTGGGATACTGTCAACCCCTCCTGCCCATTCACAGCAAATACAATTAACAGTTTGAGCTCCCCCAAGATCTACCTATATGAAAGGAGCAGCATAAGGGTTAAGAAAACATTTAACCCCAGTGGGGGTATTGCCTTTCTTTATCTAAATGCAAAATGTTGTGAAACCAAACGGTTCGCTAGCTTCAGTAGCAATGTCAACACTTTCTCTACGATTTTCACTGGCCCAGTGGTGCCTCACACTAAGCAAATCGGCTTTGCCGTGACAACATTCCACCGGTTGAGCAGCTAAAGTGTGCTCTGAGGTGGATACAGGCAGTAGTGCCATGTTGAGAAGTACAACCGACAGACATGGGCGGATAATTGAGCTAAAAAAATGGCTGCCTGCAGGTTAATAAACTAATAAATAGGGATTTTGGTCAGGATAAATAAATGTAGATAGACTGCTGTTGGCGCCAACCTGTGTTTCGATGATATGGAACATGTCAGCTCCGTTGCCAGCCATTCGGTTTGGGATTCTGATGTCCACAGTGGAGCCAGGCAGCCTGCTGGGCCCCTTGTTTATGGCCTGGAAGCACATCACACAGAGACGGGGAAAGATGGAAATAAAGAGAAGTGAATACATTTATATATGTCAAAACACTGAAAATCCTGTACGCTATGTGCAAGCAGTACCTGGAATGTGAGATTGAGAGGCTGAAAGTGGCACTCCATGTCTTCCAACTGGACGAAGCGCGAGGCATCGATGGACTTTCCGTACACAAAGGAGCTCGGTGTCACCACACTGCAGAAACAGTGTCAAAGAGAGAACGTAGAAAAAGCATGAACTATTTATTTAAATGCCAACAGAAATGCTCTTACATAAGATACAAATCTCTGGCTTCTGTCATGTTATTAGCTGGACAGCAGTGTTCTTTAGCAGATGAGATATGAGTCAGAGGCATCCAGCTTTTCTCTGAAGCCTCCCTTCATGTTAAAGACAGCAAACAGCAGCTTTATCAGACTTCTGGGGCATTTGGGCTGTTTTACATCTCTTTCCCTTCTCTGTGAAGCAGCAGGGTTACGATAAAGCCTTCAGAGATAAGGCTTTTCAAGTTGACATGCTCCATACTGACTCCCTCTCCTCCCAGCAGCCAGCAGATGGGAAACCAGTTCATGCTGGTTTTAGCTTTAAGTTGAATGAAAAGCAAATACATGTTATGGTTGGCCTTGTCCTTACCCGGTGATAGTGGTGTCCGTCTCATGAACCAGTGGGATGGACAGATCCAAATTGTTGTCAGAGAGTTTGTGCTCCGGATTGGCGCTGCAACAAACAAGGGATTTTGATTTATTTTGTATATTAATTGAAGAACTGTTTACAGGAATACAGGGCATTAAGTTAAAAAAGCAAGAAATACAATCATTAAGTATGGACTAAAAACTCTTTAATTACCTTTTTGCTTGAACTAAGAACTGCAACGTATCATTTTCCCCGGTAAGCTGACTCGTGTCAAAAATCACTGCGAAATGATACTGAAGAGAGAAAGACAGAATAAAACAATTGTTCTGCACAGTAATGCCTTATGCTTTTAAAAGACCTTTAAAACAATGTATGTATACTTCATGCAGTTTTCAAATCGTGCAATTAGTTCTCTCTCAGCTACCTTAGTCTGCGCTCTCATGAAGGGAAATCCCACGCTGCATTTAAGGAAGTCCAAATCAACAAGAATACAGGAAATACCCTTCTCTTCCTGTAAAAAGACAGATAGACAAAGAGTGAGAGGATGATATACAGACAGACAGGCTGGAGACAGAGAGGGGGACACTGATGGAGACATAGACGGACGAGGCAGACAAGATGTGATAGGGAACAACCGGGTTGGAAGCTACCAGGCAAAAAGCATCAACAATGGCTTTGGGTGGTTACATAAATGCAAACATAAAAGAGGACATCATTTCAAGGACTGCCTACCCACCCTCTGTCCCTACATGGTGGTCATCATCAACGCTTCTCTGGCTCCTGGTATAGTCCCCACCAGCTTCAAACTGGCCTCAGTCACCCCCATACTCAAAAAACCTGGCCTGGACCCCGACGACCTCCAGAACCACCGGCCGATCTCCAACCTTCCCTTCCTCAGCAAAACTCTGGAAAGAGTGGTTGCCGGCCAACTCCATCAGTACCTGTCCAACAATGAGCTCTATGAGCCCTTCCAATCCGGCTTCAGACAGCAACACAGCACTGAGACCGCCCTCATCAAGATCACCAACGATCTCCTCATTGCTGCTGACTCTGGCCGCCTCAGCATCCTCATCCTCCTGGACCTCTCTGCAGCATTTGACACCATCTCTCACAACATCCTCCTCACCCGCCTCTCAGACCTCCTAGGTGTCACTGGCACAGCGCTGTCCTGGTTGACATCCTACCTCCACAACAGGAAACAGTTTGTCTCCATCAGTGGCTCAAACTCAGCCCCGGCCCCAGTCCACCACGGTGTACCCCAGGGCTCTGTGCTTGGCCCCCTCCTGTTCACCATTTACATGCTCCCCCTCGGCCAGATCATCCGACATCATGGACTCAACTTCCACTGCTATGCTGATGATACCCAATTGTATCTCAGCACCACTCCATCCTCCCAGCTCCCCCCTCAGTCTCTCATCAACTGCCTGCATGACATCAAAGCATGGATGTCATGCAACTATCTGAAACTAAACAGCATGAAAACAGAGCTCATGGTTGTGGCACCCAAGGCCCTGCTCCAGAAGGTTGGTGACTTCGTCCTTGAGGTTGACGGCTGCTCCATCTCCCCATCTCCTGAAGCCCGCAACCTGGGTGTCATCCTCGACTCCACCCTTTCCTTCCATTCCCACGTCAAATCTGTGACCAAATCGGCCTTTTATCACCTGAGGAACATTGCCAGACTCCGACCGTCACTCTCGGAGTCGGTTGCCGAAACCCTAGTCCATGCATTTGTCACCACCCGCTTGGACTACTGCAATGGTGTCCTGTTCGGGGTTCCCAACAAAACCCTGGACAGGCTCCAGTATGTCCAAAACTGTGCTGCTAAGGTACTCACGCACACAAAACCGTGGCAGCACATCACTCCCACCCTCATCCACCTACACTGGTTGCCGGTCAAGTCCCGCATATCCTACAAAATCCTCCTCCTTACCTACAAATCCCTCCATGCCCTTGCCCCCCAGTACCTATCGGACATCCTTCACCTACATGCCCCACCCCGGAACCTGCGGTCCTCAGACTCTGGCCTACTTACCACCCCCCGCACCAAACTGCGAACCTACGGGGACAGAGCCTTCAGTGTGGCAGCCCCCACCCTCTGCAACGCTCTCCCTGCGGAGATACGCAACATCCCCACACTTGAAGCCTTCAAAAGGGCCCTCAAGTCCCATCTGTTTGCCAAGGCTTTCGGCCCCTAAATCGATCTGTTGTTCTGTTTGTCTGTCTTTTGTTTTGTTATGTTTGTCTTTGCACTATTACTTGTGAAGCGACCTTGGGTCCCCTGAAAGGCGCTATAGAAATCGAAGCTATTATTATTATTATTATTATTATTTACTACATGGCAAAAAGCAACATTCTCACATCACATTGAAGTTCTAAATTAGGTTGAAGGAAGAATGTATAAAGCCGTGATGGCAAACACATATATCTTAGCGGGTGGGTAATTGGACAACCTCCAGTCTGTGTGTTTGGAAGCTTGTCTAAACAATACGGAGCTTCACCGGCTGCGCTGTGTAAACACGCGGGTCTTGACCCTACGATGAGTAATAATTCTTTTAGCGGGAGTTCATTGAGAGGCTGTCGGCCGGGCTCGTGTGCAGCCTGGGAGCATGGAGCAGGACATACCTTCAGCTTCAACGTGAAAATAAAATAAAAGAGACAGACAAGCGCTCCTGGAACATTGAGCAGGGGGATTAAGGTAAATCATACAAAATGTCTGCCTGCGTAGGCTTCCTGTGTTGTGTTTATAACATGTTTCCAAAAGTGATAAAGGAAGGAGGTGTGAAGGTCTTTGCTGACATATTTAAGGTAGACATCCATCCACAATACCATTCTCCTTATTCAGCAGATTCCCAGTGTAAATCAAGGGTGTGGCTGTTTTCCATCTTCATTAAGTCAGCTTACATAAGCAGCACTGCCCTTAGCATGGAGACTAATGGTGAGTCCTGTAGGGGGGGGGGGGGGGGGGGGGGGGGGGGGGGGGGCCCAGCGTAACTGGCATAGATGGAATTTCCACTATTTCCTGTATTTTTTTTTCCTGCTGCTGTACAAACACCGCCTGTCCCATGGGGCTGGGCAGGATTGGGGAAGTCAGCCTGTTTACCCATCATCCACCTAGCAGCCCTTGAGAGAGAGCAGAGCCCCCGGACATATGGCGTGCGGTGACTCCATGGGGAGAAGAGTGACAAAGTCTGTTTGTTCAGCACTTCTTCACTTTCTCTCTCTTGTCTTTCTCTGTCAGGAACAAACTCGCAGGGATTTTTCACAAATGGCAGGCCCACTAAATATCACCAGGATTGTTTACCCTGCTCTAGTGTCAGCTGAAGGAGTTGTACATTAGTGCGGATGACAACACACAGGAGGCCCGTTTACTCCACGTCTTCTTATGTCTCCATCCACTTCGGTATTTGTACATTTGGCTCTATTTCGGTCCACCTCTTCCAAGTCAGTGTCATTGCCTGCTAAACACTTTTGACAGAGGTATGAAGCTTGAGATCTACCTTTGGGCTTTGTAGCTTGTGCAAAAGCTGCGTCTCAATGCCAATAAATTAGTGATTCATATTTTCATTGGTTAAAGGGTGAAGTGAAATTCACAAATTCACACATTTCTCAGTTACTTTCTCAATTTTCTGGGCTTTTCACCATCATTATCCTCTGTTGCAACTGTTAAATCAACATAAATCAGTGGTGAAGGAAAGTATTCAGATCCTTGATTTAAGTAGTAGTAGAAATGCCACACCATAAAAACACTCCATTACAAGTCAAGTAATCAATATTTATCAGCAAATGTGCTTAAAGTGATAAAAGTAAAAGTAGTCAATTTGCAGAATGCCTCGTTCAGCTTCTGTTTATTTACATTGAATACAAAACGTTTAATTTGCATTCATTTGTTACATTTGACCTACTATATAAGGGCTTGATTAACTGCTGATTATTTGTAATCATTCAATCCATAAACTGTCAGAAAATAATGATAAATGTCCATCTTTCTTTGTTGTTCTTTAAAAGTTTGGTCACTCCAAAACCTAAAGCCATTCAGTTTAAAATGTAATAAAAAAGGGAAAAGCAGTTTAACTTTATACTGGAGAGGCTTAAAATAAATATTGTGCAATTCTCCCATAAATATTATTAAGAAGTAAATTCCTATCAAAATAGTTTCCTATCAAAATAGTCTTTATGACAATCCATTAAACGATTACTAAACAAACAGTTCTCCTGTGTATTCATATGATACATTTTATGGTATTGATCTAGCCCATGTTAAAGCCACATTTTGATATTGCTTTTTATATTTGTCTTTGCTTTAATCTCCCAAATCACAATTAAGAGACAGGTAGGTTTTGTGTCTAAAATCTTTACCAGTTAGCAATTGTAGCTTTCAGATGCAGTGGAGTAGAATAATGAACAGCTGCCACAAATACAATGCTATAAAACATCTGCTACAGTTCTGGCCTTTCATGGGGGGGGGGGGAAAGCTAGAACTAACTATTCAAGCATTTCAGAGATAAAAAAAGAAAACACAGAAGCCGGTGCAACAGTCTCTGACTCCCACGGGAGCAAAACCTCCACAGCTTCCTGACAGCTTGTGTTGCAAGAACAACAGATAGATAACACACCCCACTCTTAAATACGAGAGGGGAGTTCTGAGTTCACGCTCACTGGAGAAAAAGCCTCAGGGGAGGATTTGGGAGCTGACCTTAGCTTTACGGAGAGGGGTCACTCACATCATCACCTTGGACTTCTCCAGTAGTAATTATAAATGCTTCAAAGAGCGTACGGTAGTAAATCTGCTCGGTGGCCTCTTTGTCATCTCTTCATACTGTTCACTTCCTGCTCCCTTTGTGCACTCTGACTTATCAGGTTCCTGCTCAAAATGAGCCTCAGTGGCTGCTGGTAACCTGATACTTAATTACTTTATTAGATTAGCTATGAAACTCAAACTGGAACACTGTTTTCCTAATATTTGCCTGCAGCATATATTCTGTTAAAATTCAATTTTGGCTTTGTTGGGGGGCATTGCAGGCTGTGTGCTTTACAGAGATGATGGTATCCATCACAGGGCGTTCAAAACACAGCTGGAGGATAAACACAAGGTCCATTATGAGGGGAAAAGCCCTGTGATGGATGTTGTCCCCTCTGGCATCTGCTGGGCCGGTGCACGCTCCTGTCAGATCGCCCTGACTGACTGACGTGGCTGCTTTATGCAACACGTTAGCGAACAGACGTGAGCACAGGCAGGGGCGGCCGCTGTGAAATCCATTCTCATACAGTAGAGCGAGGAAAGTCTCTCAGGTTGGATGTGGGTTGGCAGTGGGTTGATATTTCTTTAACAGAAGCAAAAGGTTTGAGGTGAAAGAGTTCAGACCTGATCAGTATCTCCATGAAGGTCAGGCATAATCCTCTCTCCACGTACCTGCTTTTACCCCTTTAAATATTACCCTTTTTGACATGTGATTTCACCGGTACATCAGTCAAGCTTGTACACACATAAATTATGTGTGTTCTGGTCTTCACACAGCTTATGTTGTTGATGTGGTGTGTCCACTTTAAATGAGTCAGAGAAGCGTGTGACAGGTCAGCCAGAGGAGCTGTGAGACGGGACAGCTGCTGCTCTTCTTTTCATCCCCAGGGCTCTGGCAAAGCTTTAAGTTCATCGTTTTCTCACAGGTCTGTCTTTCTTCACTGTTTAGACTGCACTCCTGACATTTAATCATTCTTTTTAAATAATCCGTCTTGAAGTAAATGCACATCCAAGTGATGATATTCAGCTGATAGGGTACGTCTGTTTAAAATGGTGCGCTCCACTTCATCCACAGCCTTTCAGCCACAGAACCAAATACATTTCAGAAACAAATATGTGCACTTGAATACATAAACAGCAGATACTCTTCAAGAGTTACAGACCTTCTGCCAGAAGTTGATGTAGAAAACTTCTTTGGGGAAGTTGAAGTAGATGTTGGTGTCGTAGGCATCGTCCCCAGCGTTGGAGATGGTCATGTTCAAAGAGACGTTCCTCACCCCTCCAAGGGCCAGATGGGGTTTGACGTGCAACCTGAGGGAAATAGAATGCATTTTAGAGCGGAAAAAAAGTTCTTATAGCAACTGTGGGATGTAGAAAGAAAGTACAAAGGCAAATGTGTATATTAACAGTGCATTTGAGTTTGTTTTATTATGAACATCTAAGTTTACAAAGGAGAGTGGTGTTCAAATGCTTGTTTTTGGGAGTAAAACAAAGGTTATATAAGCGATGACGACTGTTTACCATGACAGACACATGCTGTCACTAAATGTACGGACATCAGAAGATACACAATACAAAGAAAAGGAACTCCCTAAGTATGGAAAAACATATGGATATCCTACAAGCATGCGTCATGGTTCCCCGACCCACACCCACATGGCCTATGACGTCAGCTTGCTTCCTCTGTACTAAGAAGTAAAGACACAGACTGAATATAAACTGTGAAGGTTTTTTACCCAGAGAGCAACATTTTCCCATGGAGCCTCAGGTCTGCAGCACAGTCGTCGGACAGGCAGTTCTTCTCAAACAAAGTCTGAAGAGGAAACGGTAAAGTACACAGTTAATATGACATCATGCAGTAAACACACCACATTCAGACTAGGGGGCAGTATTGTGTCGGTGTTAAGGATATCCAGGAAGGCCACATCTTTACGTCACTTTACTCTATCTGAGCTCTTTTGATCAGTCGGAGGATGGTCTTTGGTTTAAGGCTAAATCATGAAAGGAAACTTAAGTAAAGCAGTAACGTTTAATGTAACCTTGATGTGTTTTAGAGGAATGGGTTCCGTAGGTGCTGAGAGATGCAAATCCCTCAAGAAGTGGGGAACCACATGTGTGGCAGGTTAGAGGTGGTCACAAAGAAAATAAATGAATCAGTCTTTTTGGATTGCATTCAAGAAAAGCTAACACAGACAATAATAAGCTGGTAAGTAACCCACACCAAATGATTATATCCTCAATTTGAGCTACTTCCTTCATTCCTTCTGTGGTCGAGGGGAAGACTGTGTTCTTTGTAATCAATACAGGAGATGAATCTGAATAAATAGATTATTACTGTTACGCTGGATTAATTATCCTCATCTGCTGTCGTATGTATTGAAGTAAGTGCTTCTACTGTATGTCTGAAAGTGCAGGAAGATGTGGTAGGGAGGCGTGTGGCGTAGTGGGTTAGTGCGTTGGTGTTCGGATCAGGGGAGCATAGGTTCAAACCCCACTGCAGTCAGCATGTCGTTGTGTCCCTGGGCAAGACACTTCACCCCAAATTGCTCCTGTGGGGATTGTCCACAGTATTGAGTATGTACGTCGCTTTGGATAAAAGCGTCTAACTAGTGACATGTAATGTGATATCTGAATCATTTACAAGTCAGATTGAAGGTTTAAATTATCATTTTTCTGGCAAGCATGTTTTCTTTTGATCATTGATAAGACACATTTCCAAAGTCAAAGTCCAACCACAGAACAATACATGTCCAATGGTCACTGTAAACTAACTCTTAACCCCATTTTTCTGGTAATTGACCTACCCCAAACTAAATCAGACCATGAGAAGACCTGAGACCTTTCACACCCTCATCTAAGAGAAGTTCTACATATTTTAACAATTTTAATCCCAAAAACAATATCATTTTGGGTCAATATTTTACCTCATTCCTCGTTGCGATCTTGTTTCCTTTCCTCCATCGTAGCACGGGGGTGAGAGCGGGGAGGTCTCCCCCCGGGTGTCCTGGTTCGTGCTTCCCCAGGCTGTAAGCCACCTCGAATGTGATGGCTGTGAACACGTCCCTCACATCTTTCTGCAGAGAGCACAAACAAACAAGGCTATTGCAAAGAATTTGTCCCACCAAAAAAAAAAACAACCTCAAAGAAATGAGTGTCATGTAACAGCCAGCCAGGGTCATTATGGCAATTTAACATCTTTCTCCAATTGACGCCTGGCGCAGAGACTGATTACACTGCAGATCATTGGAGGAGCATACAGTCTGGATTTGATGTTATGACTGAAATCGCTGAGCCACAGATCTACAGGGCTGAATGCAGATGTTAGTATACAGATGAACCACAAACGTATATGAATTAGAGTGACACTATCTTTTTTTTAATCAGTCATTTAAAAAAAAAAATAAGACCACGGCTTAGTTCTTTGCCAAGGAAACATGGTGGTTATTTGACCTGCTGGCACTGCCTCTGAGAGATATCTTTGCGTTTCTGGCCGCTCCATCTAAGACCACTAGAGAGGTGTTTGATTTGGCATCAGGTTTGGAAACAATATAGCCTGTATGAAAACAGAGCTGAATGTGATAAAATCCCATATCTTCATTAGATGACAGCGCTGAAAGACGTACATGGGGAAAGCAGATACCGCTTTTTCATCTTTTGTGTCCACTAGAGCGACACTCAGATCTTTTGAAGGCGCCTTTGGCTTCGGTTTAAAAGCCACAGCTATAAAACACACACACACACACACACACACACACACACACACACACACACACACACACACACACACACACACACACACACACACACACACACACACACACATACACACACACACACACACACACACACACACACACACACACACACACACACACACACACACACACACACACACACACACACACACACACCTATAGGCAACCTGTGCCCAACTGATGTCTACTATCATGGAGCCAACCCCACAATGTAAACACAAAGGGCTTCCCTGTGTTTTCTGGTGGTCACTAAGGTCACTCGTTTTTTTGCACTTTCTCTCTCTTGTTCATTATCGCAACATTTTCCAATGTCAACCCACCCATCCTCTTTCCTCATGCAGGCGCAGAGCTGCAGTCTGGGCTTTGAACACATCACCAGTTGAGGACCAGCCAATGCATCAACAGTGGGAGAGTTATAGCAGGAAAGAGCAAAGGTTGGGACATGAATAGACAAAAACAGAGGATTTTGGGCTGACACAGATAAAGACATGGTCAGTTAAATTTAGTGCTGTTATTTTTGGCATTATGAATTTACAATTTTAAATTCAGTATAGCATTTCTCAGAGCTTAACTCAACATGCTTATTATGACCAACTAATCGTCCCAAAGATACTCAGTTTATTATCACATCATTGATACAAACTAATTTTCTATCAATCAACCCATCAATTAATCCCCCAATTACTTCATCCCTAATTGAAAATGACACATTAATTGCCCATTACCACAGCAGATCTGGTCAATAGTAAGGGTGAGTGCTGCAGATGCATGCGTTTGACCTCCCATCCATCACTGGCCTGCAGTCCATGCCTCATTAGACTTATAGAGAGCGTGTTGTTCAAGAGGCATGTCGGCTCAGCTGGGAGGTAACATGACACAATGTTGTAGTCAGTGCTGGTATACCATGTGAGGCGCTAGTGGCAAAGCTCTTAGACGTAATAGCCACTAAAGTAGAAAGCTTGAAATGGCCCCTGTCCACTGGCCTCTGCGTGAACCGACCCCCTGGGAGTCCACTGCCCCAAACTCCCAGCGCTTATCTCACAATTTCAAAACCCACAGGAGAAGTGGGGGACATAATGACCTGAAATGAAATGTGGTGCTTTTGAACAATCATGCTCAAAAAAGGACCGTTATGCTCGAGTAAATAGGCATACACTTTCCGCTTAAGTAGTGTGCTGTGGAGGGATTTCCGCCTCTTTATTAACAGAGCATCTATTATTGTGCACATACTGGATCACTTTCTTCCTGAAACACAGGACCACTGGCTGCTAACTAACTGGAGGGCTCCCAAGATACGCTGTGAGGCCAGATTAGAAGTGCGGGAGGTTGTGAAGTAACACTTGGCCTGATTTTTTATTATGCCTTGATCAATGCTGCCAAATATCTCACCCAAATCCACACCCCTACCTCGTCACCTCTTCCCTGATTTATATCTATGTATTTATGGAACAGAGGAGTTCCTAAAAGAAAGACACCGGCTAGTGTTAACTGCCTGCTACCTATAATGCTATGGAAAGAAACACAACAACTGTTCCTTACATGCTGGTGTAGCTTGTGACAGGTCATTCTCCACTCAAAGGCGTCCACTGTGTAAATCCTCATTCAAATATAAAGACTGCAGGGTGGGTCCCTGATCTCAGGTCAGATGGAGCCCTTCTGGGATTCATATTATTTAAAGACCATTACAATAAAAGTGGACATATGACACACAGGCTTATGTCATCTTTTGCCTTTTTGAATTCATATGACATTTAAAAGAAAAAAGAAAACATTTTGTCTCTTCCAAATCAAAAGTCATAAACAAGAAAAGTTAGCTAATGTCTAAGGCAATTTACTCGAGAAAAACTTGACATATGAAAAGTGCCATTATCCTATAAATGCCACTTGGGGCCATAATCTCCATTTACAACCAATAAGATAAGAACTATAACATTTAAAGTATGTTATCATCCTTCAAATATTCTACATAAATATGTTGGTGTTTGCTCATTGATGGCTTTTACTGTTTGGAGAAACAACGAACCAATCAGAGCTTTATAAGCAGGATTTATAACGTGGATATCACCTTACTGAATAACTAGCTAGTTACCAAGATACACCCATGAAGAAGCACCAAAAGGATGGCAATTGGATGTACATGAGATGGGTGGTTGCACGTACATTAACATAAATAATATACCATTCAGCTTTAGATCAACTTTTAACTGCTCACTGTCGAAAAACCTTCATCATGTTTGGGGCGTGTTTTCCTGCCTGTCTTCTACAGCAGGGAGTTTTAGATCTCACACATAGTGGAGAGAAACTAAATTAAGTGTTCTTGTTCTTCTTGGAGTATCCTCTGAGAGGAAAGTACTGCCAATAAAAAAAAGGTAAATTTCCTGCACGGCCACTTAAAATAATCCAAACCCTCTCATCATCCTGTGGACAAAACTACTTTTTAATAGTTCCAGTCATTCTTCAGAGATGCCAGCTAACTCAGCAGGAAGCAACAGTTTTCCAGCAGATCCCACCGCATTTTGGAAACTGTTAAATCTCAACTGTAGGATGAATAATCTGCATGTTAAAGCGGTTGCAATCTTTTATGACACACTTGATACAGAGTTTTCCCGTCTGTATGCATATTCCTCTACTTGCTTGCAGGATGGAGGACAGCATGTTGCATGTTTTGAAAGAAAACAACTGGGATTCAAACCTTCACCTACAACACCCTCCCCTCTGTGGAACAAGGTTTCTGCCAATACATTATCTCAGTGTTTATGTTCACACTCAGGACCCATTTATTTAGTATGGCAGAGCATAACTCCCACCATACTCTCCATATTTTCCCTTCATTTCTGCCTGACTTGCTCTTTCTTACACCTTCATACTTTGCATATTTTTGAGAGCATAAACACTGCTTCTGCATGCATTTATCTGACTTAATCATTTATGGTGTCCCCCTGAACCCTAGGTGAGCTGTACTTTATACTTTAGTGTTGCAAGCTTTGATTCTCACATGTTAATCTGATCAACAAGATGGCAAACTGCCCGTGCACGCTCACTGAGCCGCTCCACCATGGTGGGTGCGGGGAGGATGACGTCAGGCTGCAAAAGTCTCTGATCCTCTGTTTAAACGCCTCATGCTTGGCTGAAACACACAAGAGCTCCACTCTCCAGCCAAACCATTGCCTAAATAAGCATATAGCATTAAGCCCTGTCTTGGGAAGTCTTTACTAACTTGTGAGGGAAATTCAACACAACACTCCTTTTTAGGACAATGGATGTTTGGATGACTCGCAGGTTGAGGCCATTTAATTCAAGGACTACTCGCCAGGGAATTGGGGTTTGAACGGAAAAAGCTTTTTAGCTAAGTGATGAATGAATTCAGCCTGTCAAAGGTCGGGGTTACGTGTGTGTGAGGCACAAGGAGGCGACTTGAAATTGAAAGTATTTACAGTGAGGTCTGCAGCACATGGCACACATGCACTTAGACAGCTTATCTCAGTTTGTCCTCGAAAACAAAGACTTGAAGAAGTGAGACGATTGCTGACGTTTTTTTCATTTGTTACGCTCTGCTGCATTGACTACGGGTCGAACTACGACTCGGCTCAGAATAGGTTAGCAGATGTTAAGGGGCCTAGGAAGACAAATTGTGCGGGAGTAGGAAAGAGTGTAGTCCAATTGTTTTAGCTAGAAACCTTTTTGGAGCTGTCCGGTAGAAACAGCTTTATTCTGTCTGTGAAAACGATCTTCCTGGTCCTAAATCTTTCTGGTCACGTGTCACGGCAGAAATATCAAAGTGTGAACCTGCTTTGACTCCTTTGCTTCTAAAAACGTCTAAAAACTGCTATCTCTATTAATATACCACAATAGATAACACAGTTATTAAGAAATCCAAGGGCTCACACATGTTTAACATATTTCATTATGGTTTGATCCCCTCCTTGCTGACATTTCACTGATAGACAAACTGGCCTTTACATCCTAATAATCCCCAAGAGCAGCTCCTCAGTTCACACTGCGGATACCAGTGTCATCATATTTCTTAAAAAAATGTAAATAACTTCCTTCAAGGACATTTTCAAGGACCTCTTAGTAAGAATGAGTACAGCTGCCACAAAAATAGTGATTTTCTACAGTGCTTTTCCTGTTGTTGTTTTTTTAACTGTGCCATGATTGTTCATTTCCTGCGCCCCAGAAAGTGTGCCTTTATTGCTTGCCATTTCAAATGAGGTGGTTTTTCTACTTCTTGTATATTGATATAAGTATGATTGTATTTTTGATATGTGTTCTTGTCATGTTTCAGGTCTTATTTCAGTATAATGAGATCTTATTTGTGG